CAGTATGGTAGACTCTGACCACTTGACAATTTTCATAGGAGATGGGACCATTCAAAAGCAAAGGGTTTTTATTAATTTGTTAGAAAGTAGAATTTGATAGGATCATTAATATTCTAACATCCTGTACACTGTTCATTTCTGAGCTCCTTTTAAGAGAAGCAACTTTAGAAATAATTTAAATTTTGATTTAGTCTGACTACAAGTGGGAATAAAGGAGGTAAAGGAGAGGGAGTCTTTTCTGGTTTCTGCATTAAAGAAATCTAATTACAGTGCTTTGACATTTTCCATATATCACAGCTAAAGATGGAAAAAATAAATAAAATGAGATAAATTAATGTAAAGTACAAGTTAGAAAGGTTGATGTTTTATTAACATATGCATTCACAACTAAGGTATTAATTTCTAACTTCTGCTTAATATGGTAACTTCTAAAGCAGTAGGGTTCAAATCAATGTCTATTCACTGAATGCATGCTGTCAAAAATGCATTGCTCCAAATTAGAAATCTGATATATTGCTGGGGGTAGTATAAATTGGTATCACTACTTTGGAAAACTGTTTGGTAAGATCAACTGATACATATAGCCTCTTGTCCAGAAATTCCACTCCTAAGAGAATGTGATACTTGTTTATGGTAGAAAACTTGGAAACAGAGAAAAGTACAAAGAAGAGAATAGAAATAAACTCATCTTAGAATGGAGATAATAGTTATTAGCATTTTATTTTTATTTTTTTTATTTTTTAAAAAAATACATCTTTACTGATTTCAGAGAGAGGAAGGGAGAGAGAGAGAGAAACATCAATGATGAGAGAGTCATCATTGATCGGCTGCCTCACACAGGCCCTGGACTGGCAACCCCGGCATGTGCCCTGACCGGGAATCGAACCACGATTTCCTGGATCCTAGGTCGATGCTCAACCCCTGAGCCAGGCTCGGCCGGGCAATTATTAACATTTTAAAGGAGAACCTACTTTACATACTGTTTTGTAGTAGGGTTATTTTATACGTTAATGTATTGTGACTACATTTACATTAATAGATATTCAACAATATTAAAAAAAAAATCTGCCTATAATATCATAACATGGCTACAGCACAACATATAGTGCTTACCATAATTCTGTCTTGTTGGATACTTTGGCTATTTCTAAGTTTTGCTACATTGAAATGACACTGTAGTGGACATTCTTATGTATAAATTTTTAGCAAGTATTTGAATATTGGAATAAATTCTTAGAAGCAAAATTTCTGATTTCAATAGTATGTACATTTTAAAGATTTAGATATAAATTGCTAAAAGTTATTATAATTATAAATTAGAAATATAAATAACTTCTTTCAGCATGGTATAATATTGTCCTACATCCAACAATACGCATAATTATTTTTTCTAATCCTTGCCAAATTTATAACTAAAAATAATTGCCTCTTATTCTAGGTTTAATTAGTATGGTTGGACTTAAAAAATAAGTATATTGTCCATTTGTATTTTTTCAGAATTCTCTGTTCATCTCCTTTGACTATTTTTCTATTATGTCTTTTATTGATTTGAAAGAATTCTTTATAAGGAGTAGCAACCAAAATTCTTTGCTTATTACATATGTTGTGGATTTTTTCTGCTTTATTACAAACTTCATATTTCAAACTCCTTTTCCAAACTAGCAAACTCTGATACTTTATTTGTCCTCTTGTAGAAGCAGAACTTAGGAGCAGCTACTATCACAGGTAGACTTCATGAGGCACCTTTGTTGGACTTCATTTGTTGTTTTCATTTCATCTCCTTTCTTTCCTGTTTTCATTTCCTTCTCCTTTACTTTTATTAAGACTTATTTCCTCTAAGACAATGACTCTGTTTCACTCCCAGAGGGCATAATGGATGTGCATGAAATTGATATTTGTAGAGAGGGAGCTAACATTCTTTAGTGCCTGCCATGTATCAGGGCCTGTGCCAGACACTTTACTAGATTAATTCATATTATCCTTAAAAGAACGTTAATGAATTACATATCATTTTCTTCATGTTGTAAGCTGAGGACATTGAAGATTATTCCAACTATATGTCCTTTCCTCTCTGTCTTCCCTTTGGCTTTCTTGATTTTACCTCCATCCTGCTTCTTTTAAAGTCTTCTCCGTCTTTGTTCTGGCAATTCCATCCTTCCAGTGGCTCAGCCCTTCAAAAACCTCAGATTCATCCCTGTTTTCTTTCCTTGATATTCCACATCTACTCTGTGAGGAATCCCTGCCAGCTTGTCACCTCCACCCCACCCCACCTCCCTGGTCCAAGTCACCATCCTCTTGCTCCTGAATTATTTCAATAGCCTTTTAATTGGTCTCTGCTTTAGCCCTTACCCCCGAGTGCCTATTCTCAACCCAGCAGTCAAAGTGATGCTATTATAATGTGTCCGAAGATGTCACATTTTACCCCAAACTCTCCAATGACTCTCAACTCAGAGTAAAATCCTCACCAGATATGAGGCAGGGGCATGCCAGACTTCATCTTCTCTGCCTTCACAGCCTGGCCTCAGGGCTGTTGTACTTGCTTCTTGCCTCAACAGTCGTCTGCCCAGATATCTTACTCTTTAGTATCTTTCAGGCCTTTGTTCCAGTTTCACCTCCTTCAGAGGCTTTCCTTGAACTTATTTAAAAGAGATCCCCATCATGTTCCTCATGTCCCCTCCCCGCTTAGCTTTTCTCCATATTTCTAATCATGTGGCAGCCCACATATTTTCCTCACCCTCTGTCTCTCCCACCTGGAAGGTGAGCTCTGTGAAGGCTAAGATTTTTGTTTTTGTTTTCTGCTGTGCCCTCAACCTCTAGAAGAACGCCTGGCATGCATAAAACACTCAAATAAATATTGGTTGAATGAATGAATGATTCTCCCACATCCCAATTCTTAGGGCAGGCCAAGGTGACCTACTGTGCAGAACTTCCTGGCTTCTCCTCTCATCTCTATCTGCCTTGTCCTTCCCCAGCTGTTCCTTAGGAGCCCCTTGTCTGCACTTGTTATAGGTGAAGGGCTGGTGGGTTCAGAGAGGTACTGGCAGCAAGTGCACCGGTGTTTCTGATGCCCTGCCCGAGCACATCAGTGCTGGTAGGCAGCCTTAGATGGAAGTGTGACGATTGCATCATTCCATTTCCGTGGTTGCAAGAGACTTTGAAACTATAGGTACCTAATTTTGGTTATCTCTGGATGCCATTCATGGAGAATGAAGGGAGGGAGATACTTCCTCGTAGAGAGAATTGGGTGAGGCGCCAGCAGGATGCCGCTGCGGTGGAAAAACTGCCCACATCCGCTTTTGCAAGCCGTGGTGTTGACCCAACCTGCCCAGATTGTGGCTCACCTCAAGTTTCAGCCACACCAACCACAGGGCGCTGGAAATGCCAAGAGGGCCTCTAACCAAGAATTTGATTCCTCTTCCCGGATTTCATGTCCAGAAAGCAGAGCGTTGCCTTCGCTGCCCAAACATGCAGGGGGACTGGAGCACAGAGGGCAGGGGAGTGGGGGTGGCGCTGCCAGCGTGGCCCTGGGCTCCAAATGGCTGAGGGAGGGCAGCCGGCAAACTCGGGGCGAGGTCTGGGCTCTGGGAAGGATACTGAGACAAGGAGCGGTGCCAAAGGCGACCGCCACCAACCAGCGTGGCAGGGAAATAATTTCCTAACCTGTCCCCGCATCTTCCAGACGTCCGGAGCTGGGAAAGTTTCCATCTTGCTGCAGAACAGTCCAATGAAAGAGCACTCACTTTTGGGGTGCTCGTGAACCGTGTGACACGCGCAACACATACACTCACAAGCAACTGCGCACACACGTGCTCACAAGCAACTCCGCTAACAGGGACTCCAGCGAAACAAACGGAACAGCGACACCCTCCCCCTCTCCTCCCGGCAGTAGGTTTGCGGAGACCAGGTCTCTCTCTCCCTGCCCACTTCAGGGAGTTCGCCAGCAGAATAACAGGGGGCCGTTTCCACCACTAAGGTCAGCTCTCTCTGGACTTCATTAGCATTTTAAAATTCAAGCCACAGGGGTGGGGGTAGGGGAGGCGCCAGGAGCCGAGGTCAAACCTTTGGGAAGTGAGACATCGGAAACGTCCGCTGCCGTCCGACCTCCTGCACCTGCAGGTTTATTTTCCTGCGCGCCGCGCGAACGCGCGCGCGAGTGG